ATTATCAATGAAAAAGGAAGATGATTTATTTTTACTTAGAAGATTTGCCTATTACCTTGACAGCTATTCTAGTTCCTACCCACTCTAAGTCTGGGGGCTTAAATTTCACCACATCAACGAGAATAAATAAAAGTAGCAGCAGCAAAGACATACTGGGGAAGCCAAGTATAAATAAGAGCTGGCAAAGAAGATTACGCCACAGGCCAATTTGTACTAAGTATTTATTCTACTGATCAAAACCCAGTAACTGTGCTATTGTAATAGATGCAAGGAGCCACAGAACTGCTGAGTGAGTTCTCTCTCTGTCTACTTACCTATTTAAGCCAGAAGTTAAAGCTAGATTGCCAGCCAAGGACTGTGGCATCTCTACGTTTGCCCTTTGCAAAATAAGAGGTTGTGGAAAATGTGACTAACAGATGTTTATTTTCACACACAAATAAGTAAGTACCAGGTTCAGGTTAAAAAGTATTAGGTGAGAATATAATTTGAGCCTCTATCTATCAGGAAATAGGAGAAAATCGGCCATCCATCCAAATTCATGAAGACTAAATAAAATGTCAGATTAATAATTGTGACAGTGTCAAGGAGCAGCTATTTGCTGTCTTCCCTACCAGAGTTGACAGCCAAAGTTAAGAAAAAATAATCAAATACAAATATGCTCCCTCAAAAAAATGAAAATTGAATTTAAAGCATGTGAACAAGTAGAAAAACACTTTTTTCTCTTAACCTCCCAGACCAGATAGAATACATCCTGCTTACCAGCTTCAGCCAGTGCTGCTGTAATCATGGTAAATGTTCTTGTTTCATTTTTTAGTTACCATTGTAAATGACAAATCTTTCTTTCACAATATACAGTTCTTTTTTAATGCACCCATACTTAATGCTTTATCTCACTGTTCCCCTTTTTATTGAGGTATAATTTACATAATAAAGATATAATTTACATCTTACAATGTACAAATCTTAAGTGTTCAGTTTGATCAGTTTTGATCAAAATTCATTTAACCCATGCCTCTATCAAGATGTACAATGCTGCCAGGCTGCTGTGGCTCAGTGGTTGAGCATTGGTCCCCAGTAGGGGGCCTGCGGGAGGCATTCTCTCTCATCATTGATGTTTCCATTTCCCTCTCCCTTCCTCTCATAAATATGTTTTTTATTGGTTTCAGAAAGGAATGGAGAGGGAGAGAGAGATAGAAACATCAATGATGAGAGAGATCATTGATCGTCTGCCTTCTGCACGCACCCACCCACCCCCAACTTGGGATTGAGCCCACAACCCGGGCATGTGCCCTTGACTAGAATCAAATCTGGGAACCTGTAGTCCACAGGCCAAGGCTCTATCCACTGAGCCAAACTGGCTAGGGCAAAAAAATATTTTTTTTTAAAAACAAATGGCACGAATGGCTTAAAGTGCCTGAATGATGATAACTACAGCCCACATATCAATAGGATTCTTACTGTGTCTCCTGGTGGAAAGGTTCCCCTGGGGGAACCATGACATCTAAATCTGCAAAACACAGAGTTACAGGCATAGGAAACACCAATTCCCCAAGTAGGTTTGATGTTAAATGTGTTTTATCCTACTTCTCTCCTTGGTTCCTGGAACCATGTGTTCCACATAGTAAAGACACAGCACCATATAAAAGTTATTGATTTAGCATGATACTGCATCCTGGAAGTTGATATCCCAATCTCAGTGTATCATACCCAAGCTGGTGTCTCAGCTGTGGCTTCAGCAGGTCCTTCTATCATGCTGGTGGCATCTATGATATGATGTGTGAGACAACAAGTGAATCCCATGGTCTCCTTACTGTAAAGAAGAGGGTGCTTTGGTCTGATGCAATGTTACATATGAAATTATATTGGCGGATCAAACATTCTGTAAGCCCTTCAATATTGATGCTACTGAAGGCCCCACGGGTAGGAACGGCAAATCCATACATGTCTGGTCCCTCCAGGAGGAAGGAGCCTCATTGGCAACTTGCCGCCAAGGTCTTCTTGAAGGATAATGCCACCTCAGTGGTTCAGAAATGAACGCTGTTGCCAGCATTTGGGACATTTGGCAACATCAGTAGCTGGATCAGCCTTGGTTAGCGGGAGCTCATGTACAGCCTCCTTCCTGCCGTATGGCTGCTCCTCCATGAGTTCAGTGGGCTGGCATTAGGGAGGCCCATGACAATGACTGACATGGCCCAAGTCATTTTGTACACCTGGTTGTTTAGTGCCTCTTCAGTGATGGATGCTTTTTGATGGGTATTATCATTTTTTTAAAAGATGTTTTTACTTATTTCAGAGAGAAAGGGAGAAAGACAGATCAATGATGAGAGAGAATCATCAATCGGCTGCCTCCTGCATGCCCCACACTGGGGGGCCGAGCCCACAACCCAGTCATGTGCCCTGACCAGGAATCGAGCCCAGGACCTTTCACTCCGCAGGCCAATGCTCTATCCACTGAGCCACACCAACCAGGGCGGGTATTATCATTCGATAAAAATTTTCACACTTTGTATCTTCTCTCACTGGTCCATTCACATGTCTTTACCCCAGATTTCATAGTCCCCAATCCATCTTCCCATTTCATACCCCTAACCAACTGACCCATACATTTACCACTATCCATAAAACTATGTGTTCTAACCTGGGTTACTTCTCCTGCCACACAGACTATGTGACCAGGCACACCTTCGGAAGCTCTGCACACTGGGAGGCTTTCCTTTCATAGCTATTTCCAAGGCCACTCCTGATTGGCACTGCCATGCATTTTTTACTTGCACCCATATACCAAGCCAATCCCTCTGTGAGCCAAACTTGATCTTATTCCTATTCTGTCATTTGGTCATAAGGAACACCGCCCCCCCCCGCCCCCCGCCGCTATATGGCCATAGATGTGAGCTGAGGGAGAAATGTCAGGGCATCAGTGGTACAAGACATGGAAGGTCTGGTCGCAGGCTCATGATCCAGAGATACAGTGGACCTATATGATATTCTGTGAAATGTCCAAACAGTCCAGGTCTCTTTGTATTATATTATGACAGACAATAGAGAAGTTCACCTGGCACTGGGAAGACTGTACGTATATACTGCTGTCCAATCCAGTACTGTTTCTGGTCTTCCTCTTGACATTGCTGGCCTACCACCTACCTGAAGCTGCTGCAATTAGAACTACTAGTTGTTTAAATTTATGATCGTCCACTATTATCCTCTGACATTCCCCCCAGGATGAAATGTTTATTTATGGTGGATGGGTAGTAGGCTAGCTTTACAAGTTTTCACTGGGTCTTCCTCATTACAGTAGCTCCTGTCACACAGGTCAAGAAAGCAATGTGGAAGTTGTGCTAACTACCAGGTATGTCCACTCTAATTATAATGTGGAGACTGGAAAAATTACCATTGTGATTGGCATCTGAAGTGGAGAGCAGCTTAATGGGGCTGAGCCCTTCACCTGTGGAATCTGATGCTATCTCTAGGTAGATAGTTCAGAATTGAGTTGAATTGTAACACCCCCCCCCCAAAAAAATGGTAACACCCAGTTGGTGTTTGGAGACTTGCTGGTGGGTGTGGAGAACCCCCCACCCTCTTCAACACACGTTGGAATTTGATGCGGGACTCTTACCCATTATCTTACCTCTAGAGATGCCCAATCCAGTAAGCTCTCCTGGATTTCATTCTAATTTTGCTGTTTATTATGATAATTGCCCCCACTGGCTTCTAATGGCTGAGGCCTACCACCTGGCCTCTATTATTTGGGGACCTTATCATTCCATTGCTATTAGAAAATCCAGTTCTGTAACATTTCTACCATCAGTCCTGCCCTTCACAGGAGAGCTACCACTGATAGCTCAGAGGTGCCGTCTCTCTCACCGCATACTCTTCATTGCTTTGGCCTCCCTGAAGGACAGTCATCTGGTGGGTTTTCAAGGTTTACACTGTCTGTTCCTTCTAGCATTCTCACTTCCTTAAACCTTTTGACTCCCTTCTTCCACTGCCTGCCAAGGCAGTTCTAGCATTTCTACTTCACATAAAAGGGATGTTACTCTTTCCAAACTTCTAAGAGCGGTTCTAGCAGCATGTCAGCACCTTCTCCTGGGTATTAAAACCTGTATCCCAAACGTGTACTTCAATATTGGTGTAACCACGCAGAAACTTTATTTCTTTAATATTACTTTTTCTCCTTTCTTTCCTTTTGATTCAAATTGGCCTCAGTCAACACCTTTATTCAACTCACCAGCTTCCTTCTCCCTCGCACATCCACGCCCTTAATCATTAAGCCCCCGGGACAGAGAGGCCTAGGTTGGCATCAAATAATCTTACGAACAAAGCCTGGGGTCTGCTGACCACAGAGACAGCGTTTCAATCAAACTAGAGATAACATCTAGACCTCAGTTGTGTTTCAGCCCCAGACCCAGAAAAGCGGTGAAACCAGATGAAGCGATGCCATGGCTGACATCAGACCCAGATCAACTACCTCCTACCCTAGTGCTGACCAATCAGTAGAGACCACGGCCCTGATCTCCCTTAGTTACCATGATTAACCCATCCCCTAGAAGCCACTGGGAAGCCAGGTCTTTGATATCTGTGACTCCAGGTGTGGGCCACTTCCTCAACCAGTCACGGGGTACAGGCTGCCCTGGGAAGAAGGGTTAGCCTTGGGCAAGGTGGCTCTCTCCAGCAGAGATTAAGTCCTCAGTTCTCAGGAGATCTGGACGGTGCAGAACAGGATCCATGACAATGATGACAACAGGCTTCACAGAACCAGGAGGAACAGAAACGGGAGTGGCCTCCAAAAAGAGGAAGTGCTCGGACAAGAAGAACCCTCTTGCTGTGGTAGGAGTGTTTTCTTCATCTACTACTTAATAGGACTTGATTCTAGAAACATAGTTTGATCTCACTATAAAAAATGTATATTTTGTTAATAAGACTTCTATTCTGTTAATAAAATATCTGAGCAAAAATGATTATTATCCTGAACTTAGGACAAGAGATCCCAGACAGCTTAACCCTTTGATTATACTTCTGCTTTAATAGAACAACATTTGAAAATACACAGATATCCAGGAAAAAAGGTAAAGCAGTATGAGGTATGGAGAGCACAACTGTGCTTTACTTTGGGTCTTAAGTTTGTAATTGAAATAGCAATCATATATCTAAACACTCCATGTCCAGTAGCTCTGCAAACACATCCAATGGTAATACTAGAGCTGCACACTTTACACTGTAAAACATGTCAAATACCCACTCTATAATTCACTGTGTTTCATCTGTTTGTTGTTGGTTTGTTTGTTTTTTCACTTTAAAAAAGGGCATATCTATAATTCACAATCAAAGTCAGGTTCCTGAAGACTTAGGTATGAAATATTGCCTGTCAATTTGCTTCTCAAATTCATTTTAAAAAAGAAAAACAGTATAATTTATTCTGTAAAGCCATTTTATAGACATGGGGAATCTAGAAAAATTCATAGCAATATTGATTGAATATGATATAAAGAAAGTGCAAATATTTTCTAGGACAATAGTAATAGGTAAAGGAGTATTTAATAATTCATGAGAAAAAAAGTTGATAAAACAAACTTCTTTTTCAGATGTTTTAAAATTTCTATAAAACTTTTTGTCCCAAAATTAATCATTTAACTGTGAGACACAAAATATTCTGAATGCATTGGCTGGTAGCAAGGTGGGAAACCCTCTCTTCTACATAATAAAATTCTCTTCCGGTCCATCTTGACCCAAGTCCTGGTCATCTGTGGGCACAGGCTTAAAGTTGTAATAAAAAGCATCATTTGTATCTACAAATGATGGTTGGTATTCACTCTCCGTTCCAGTGAGGAAGCCATCTCCAGAGCCACTTCCAGATCCGGAGCCGGAGCCAGAGCCTGATCCAGAATCGTCCTCAGAAAGAGGGAAGACATCATTCAAGTTCTGGAATCTCATCATTCTGAAGTAAGACAGAAAAATGAAAAAAAAACCACAGTAAAGTTGGAGACATAAGGAAGATAATTGCAATACATTTTTAAGGTAAGAAAATAAATGCAGCCACCCAGTTAATTAGTTGATCAAATTAAAAGTTAAAATTTCCCATATTCAATGCTTTAAAACAAAAAGTAAGTCAGGCCTTTTCACATGTTTGCCTACACTTGTTTTATGTAACTCATTGCACTTATCTACTCCACATCTATCCATTGCAAACTCGTATAAACAATGCTAATTTTCTTATTGCTAGCATAAGAATCCTATACTTGAAATAGGCTTACGGGATCATTTATTAAAAATAAAAAGACCCTTTTATCTATTTTCTCCCACTAAAAAAAAAAAGGATAAACAAGGCAGCCTAGATAGATGACATTCTTCCCTAATTTAAAATTTCGACCAACACTTCTAATAATTCACAGTGCTTTGACAAAACCCACTCGTAAGTGTGAGAAG